ATTGGTGGAATAGGGACTTACGTGGTGCTGCATGCATGGGATTGGAGCCTGGCGGGTTTCCGAAAATGTGGACTCCTGAAGAAGAAAACTGAGGTCAGCGGATCCTCATCCAACGGGCAGCCGCAGGCAGAAGAAGATCCTGCCCGAAAGTCCCTAGGGAGCTACCCGCTACATTGACATCATAGGGGGAGGGCCTGACAGAATAGACCAACATCTTTTAATCAAAGGATTTGACTTTTGGTGACAATAATTCATAAACCGAAGCCAACGCGTTTACATTACCATACAGTCAAAATCTATTCCAATTGGTTTTTGTAATTTTTTTTTTTTAATKGTTGATTTCCTAGTTTACTCTTGCTAAATGAATATAAAGATTAAATCCTCTGCCATATATGAATTTAAATTTTTAACTACCATCTAACCGTTTCAATGTTAATTTAACTTTGAGATTATGAGTTTGAATCTCTACTACCTCTCTAGAAATATCCCTCTTGTCACTAAAGTTTAATTTAATTCTCAAGTTAAAGATCCCAAATGTATTTTAAAGTCTATGCAATATTGTTTTATGGTAGCATTTTTGGTTTTTGGACCACAAAACAGAATTTGGGCTAAAATTTAACAAGAAACAAAACAAGCAATGATGAAGAAGAATAAGAAGGTGCTGATTCTTGTGTTGTGGTTGTGGCGAGTGGGGATTCGAAGGAACAAGATGATGCTCAGCTTCACTTTCGTTGTGAGCCCAAACGCCAACCGAATCCTCCACACCCACAGTTCACGGCGTTTTATGTTTTTGGGGAATTAAGGTTACAAATTCAAAACAATACATTATCCAAACACCTGTCTTCATCTTTTTCATTTGGTGGGGAATCACTTCACCTACTAATTTCTTTTTAGCCTAAAAAAACTGATCCCATAAATAATTTAAGCACATCTTTCAAATAACAAACAATAATATAAATATTTAAGTTAATAGGAAAACAGTAGCAGTGTAGCAGCCGTACATTATATTCTGGTGCTAACCATGAAAAGAAAACAATGGTTGAGGTGAAAATTATTAAGTTAGACAACCCAACAATTCTGGAATAACGAAAGAGAATAAGGGGCAAAGTGAGTGGCACATATTCTTGCATCACACGAAATAATGTGGCTGTGGCATGTGTGTGTCTTCTATTCCAGCCTTGTAAGTTGTAACCCCAAAGCAAAAAAAAAAAAAAAAGGACCATTTTTGGAGGTTTTAGAGGCATCGGAGACAAGACAAGACATGGTCCACAACACAACACAAAGCTCTTCATGATAACTCAGACACGTATTGAGGTTCTCGTCTGAAATGACACCATTACTCACTCTGTGTCCAAGTGGTTCCATACTTTCTTACACTCTTCATGCTAAAGATCCCACCCCGCCACCCTATTATGTTCATTATTGATGGTATCTCAGCCCTGGCTTCGCTTTCATTTTCTCATCCATTTGTTCTCTCTTTTTCTGCTTCTGAAAAGTAGCATATTGTCACAACCCAGAGTAAAGATGAAGCTATCAAGTGCTGGCAGCCTGACATCTATGGAATTTTCAAGTCATCTAGTCAATGAATTGACTGGTGTTATCCAAGTTTATAGTTGCTCTTTTTTAACTTTTAACTGTGAAGCATACTGCTTTATGTCTCAACAAGTCTTTGGAAGTCAATCCCACAAAAATTTTATCCAAACTACAAAGCCACTTTCAAGACATTTTTGGACAATTCATGTACCTGATAAAATAACGGCACTAAGAAATCTAACAAAAAAAGTCGAACTCTTGTAAATTACTTCTAATATTGCATTCAGTATCCAGGCCAAACATTTTATCAACAGTTCTATAAATAAAATCCAAAAAAAAAACCCAATTACAGTTACAGATGCTTTTAGGCAGCACACGCTAAAGCATGGCAGTGGCAGGCTTTCCTATGGTTGAATTTGGTGCGCTAAGTTCCAATCCAACACTAGGGTCTGAGGTTACTGGTGACAAACTTACTTTAAGTCCTGAACAGATGTGGGAATTGGTTTTCTTCTGCTTGGGACCCCCCTAAACTCCTCTTGCTTGCAAAGTACTAGTGGTTGCCTAATTGTTTGATGTGGTTTCATTTCTAACCAGATCATTTACAGACACTTAAGGGTGCAATACAACAATCTCTAAACCACCTATCGACTAAAACGGATAAAATGAAGTGCCGAGTGGGCTTTACGGAATACCTCACGTGAGCCTCTCCTTTCTCAGCCTTTCTATTTCCTTGGCTATCTGCCAATGTTCCAATGAAAGGCAGGTTTCTCCATAACTTGCGGATATCAGGCGGCCAATCGTTAGCAACCTGCACAATAATTATAGAGGTTAAGAAAACCATTAGGGAAGTACGAATCAGAAGTGAACACTTTGCAAGCAAACATGTGCTACTTGCCTGCTTAAGTCTTGGCTGGCTAAGCTCCTATCTGCTTGCTTTGCTGCCACCAAGTCATTTTCTACAACCTGTCACATATTAGATCCCAAAATTATAATTTCAAGCCTCAGAGAATATCATCTTTCATTCCTATTTCATTGACAATTTTACAGGCTCGCTCTCAGGAATCAAGAAAACCTAATAGGTACCTGCTGCATTTCTGACTCAATGGAATGTGGCAATGACCTTACATTACATAAGTACCACCTCCATGCTTCTAGTGCAACCATATCAGTAATTGCAGATGAACCTACAGCGGAAGGTTGGAAAGGCACAACCAAATCAGCTGGCAAAATGTTTGATTTACCCTCGGACAAAATTAACAATTGGACATCGGTTGTCATATCCATTTTGTAATATTTGAAATCATATTCGACCTGGAGGCAAGAAGGATTAATTAATCAATACAATGACTAGAAAATATTTCATATAATTGCAATGTTCATGTACAAATAGGCTGCACCAACACAAATACCTTTTGCAACTCCATTAGACTTTTTAGCAGCCTTGCATTTTCAACTCCTACAGAACTCAGTGTCCCTGTTTGTAGTTGAGTTTCATCAATCATCAAATGTGAGCCTTCTGCCAGCTGAAGGACACCAGGAACCAGTCTGTAATTTGTCGAGATATTAGACCACCAACTCACGGCATCATTTCAATGGTAGAGAATAAGTCATTCACCATCTAGTTACCTGTTTGTCTCATAATCCTTCTTCGGTGCCAATGAGGCAGTATTTAGATATTCCACTGTGAGTGGTACGTATTCCGTGAATGGAAGAAGGCTCTTGACAGTAAGCCTAAGCTGATTGCCAAAAATGGACATACTTTCTTTGTTGAAACCTGTGAGGTTTAGTGAAAGTTTACCCACTGCCAAGGAATCCACCCTGGCATGCACCTATTCAGGAAAATTACCCATTAAAATTTAAACCCAAACATGATAACAGAGTGATCAAAATATTAGCATCCAGAGTTTAAGATGATAGAACTAGTTGATGGATAAAATAATAATGAAGAATTAAAAGGATGTGCCCTAATCATTATAAGAACGCCGGAAACTATGACGATGAAATTAACCCTCACCTTGGACAGAAGATGCAACAACAAAAAATTAGCTGCCACTCCATCATTGCCAAGAACGACTGTCAGGTGATTCAGAAGAGCTGTACGTATCTCTCTAATTTGATGGGTTTGGGGCTGTTACATAAGAGTATGACAGTATATACATAAGTGGCAAACAATGAAAAAGCTGAGAAAAACTACAATAGTGATGGAATAAAAGAAATCTAAGTGACAAAATGAGACATCGCTTATAGTACCTCAAACACATGGCAAGTTTGAAGGAAGTCATGAACAGCAAGTTTCCTGTGAATAACACAATGGAGACGTGGTACCTATACCAGAAAAAGAGAGTGATGCTATATCAATCTAGTCTGACCACTGAAAAATGTTTTAACTTCGACAGATACTCAGTTTTAGAAATCATAAAACTATTTTTAACCCTATAATCTGGACAAGGAGTAGACAAGAAGTGCAACGTGTTAAATCTGTTTAATTCGTTTTTAAGAATTAGATGAAGAAAATGATGGAAGAGTTCAAAATGCATCAATACCGTGTCTGGAGGAAATTGAACTGATAAGTCTTCACTTAAACCATTTGAGAACTCATCATCCTCGTTCTTGTCAACTTTCGGCTCTGTGCCCAGGGTAATAACACCAATAAACTCAAATACATCATTCAGCTTTAACTCAGATTCCACAGTATCGTATATCTGCAATATAGATGGATATTCTGAAAATTAATAAACATTGCTAACCCAATTGCACAATTGATAATAACAATAATATGACAACAGAAACTCAGAATATCGATTGGGCAATTACCTTAACCAGACAAGGAAGAAAATCCCTTTCAGCATTACTGACGGTGCTTAGACTAGATGTAGCCGCAGTGAAAATATTCTGAGACTGTAAGCCTGGAGAAAGTTGTTCATCTTTCTATTGAAGGAATGAAAACAAAGGAATAAGTCCAATTAGAATACACCAATAGAGGTACAACAGCATAAGGTGGAACAACAATATGCAAGCATTCTCTATTATGTCCATTTCTGGTATAATAACCGCTTGATGGTGAAAGATTACTTATGAACTCCAAAAGATTGTGCTTAATCTGAAGTCTAGACATAATGCACCCATGCAAGTAACAGCAAATAAAATTATGATGTAGTTAAAAAAAAATTTTGCTCACCATCTTTTTCGCACTTGAAGAACCTTGAAGCTCATTGCTTGGGGCCTGTTAGTTTAAATGAAATGTCAGAAAGGCAGCTGCTAGTATTCCTTTTATAATTAAACACTTACAAAGTAACCAATGCCTACATAAAATTATAATTAGAGATTGAGAATGATTGTAATTCAGTAGATATTTTGAAGCAACCATACTCATGTTATAAGTCTTTCTAAGTAGCTACAAGTGGTGACAGCTAAACTCTATTAAGCACAAAAAATTCATGAGAAAATCTCTAACAAATCTCATTCCAAGTTCCTAGGGGTAGCTCTGTTTCCCTCCTTAATTTAAACAAAGCAAACCTTCTCGAAGGCTTAATAGCTAAGATGGAAAAATTCCAACTAGAGACATTTCCATTTCACTTCATCAGTGACAGTCATTATTTACGCTATCCTGCTAAATGTGATAAATATGTGAAAAATCTCTCTGTACAACTACTCCATATATCTCCGAGCAGGGACAATGGCATAAATTTTAATTGAGAGAAGGGGGGAAGAACTTCTATTTAGGCTCATCCCTAGCACCATAAATAAAACTAACATATAGGAATACCACAAGTACAGAATAAATACAAATTAAATAAATAAAACAAGAACAAGTCACAGAGGGAAAAAGTACAAGCAAGTCCATATGATCGATATCATTCGCATCCACTCTGTGCCGCTTTTCTCTGTTTTCAGATGTCCCCTCAACATTCTGATTGGTATCTCCTAGTTGTGAGGATTCTGTCCAATAATTCTGACCTGGAACCTAAATGAAATGATAAAGAAATTACTCGAGAACAAGTCATCAAGCGTCACATGGTTTTGTTTATACATGCTCAAATTCAAAGAGAGGAAAAAGTAGCAGAAACAGCTAACAAACTAAGGATTCTCCTTGAAAACTCACAGGCACACAGTATAGCAAACGGCGTTCCCAGATGCGCATATCTGGTGAAAATCCCATTGGGCATTGAGACGAATCCGTAAACTTGGTGGTTTTCCAAGTGGAGCCATCCTTAGAAAGACAATATACAGTCTTAACACATGAAAACAGCAATATCCTGAACGTAAATTTCCGAGTAACGGATAACTGAAATTACCTTGTAAGCGCCAACATAAAATTCATTTCCTAGCATGTCTTGTATCATTCCTCGAAACCGAACAAGAGTATTGGGCTGAACCCATCTAGCGCTCGAAGCGTTAAGAATCGGAACCTACATAAAGCGACTGATCAAATGAATGATTCAATAACCTAATGAAACTAAATCCCTAATTCTTACATGACCAAATAAGACCTTAGAGAGACCATTTTGGTCGAAAAGGAAGTGGCGAAAGGGATCGAGAGCGCCCCAGTCCTTGCCATCAAAACACGCTGGATTGGAACCAGATGATATCGCCTTCTCGAAGGTTGATCTCACAGCGCCAAGAGGATTAAGAAGAAAATCGTACGGTAATCCAACCATGATTGCGTCCTCTCTCTCTCTCTCTCTCTCTCTCTCTCTCTCTCTCTCAAGCATCTTTATTTTGGCGCCCTAAATAAGATGAAGAACAAGCAGAGATTTCCCGCCAAATCCAAGAGCTTGTGCTTCTTAGTTCCCGCCATTCTTCACGTCCATGTAATATAATTGCAATACCCGGGCTGAAGCCTGGATTTGATATTGGGCCTTAGCAACTATTGGGCCACCAACCCTAACTTTCAGCCCAAAGCTGAACTCGATTGGGCTCTTCACAATTCAGACCCAGAGTGGACCAAATCGTTGATGTGCTTTGCTTTCAGCTCCAAAGAGAGTGTTTTCTTTTAGTTTAAACAATGTGGAGGTGAAAATTCAAGAGTAATATTTGAAATTTATGACAAAAGGTAAAATATAATAAAATTTGCCAACATGAGCATAACTCAATGGTTGAGATAATAATGTTAATCAAATGTAAGAATAGAGATTCGAACCTATGATCTCTTATATCATATAGAGATATCTTAACCATTGAGCTATGCTCAAGTTGTCAATAATGAAGACAACAATAAAGATTTAAGGAAACATATTCAAATACCAACACTTCACTTCCAAACTTTTTTTTAAGTACATTAACATGTGGAGGCAGGGATTTAAACTCACGACTTTTTACTCGGAAACTTATACTATAACCGTGAATTGTAGAAGCTAAGTCATATTAGTAGACAACAAATGAAGTGCGTTTAATAAGTCATTTCTAGTGAATATTATCTTGTAAGGATTGTTTGGTCTTTTTATATAAAAAAAAGTAAAAAAAAAAAAAGAATCGGAACCTATTTCTTCTTTAATGGCATTTTAGTCTTTAAGCATCAAAATAGGGGGGAAATTACAAATTTAGATCTTTATCCAAAACTCATATTCTCTGAGTGCTTCTTTTAATTATTTGACCTAATTTAGATATTTGACCCATCTATTATCAATATACCATTTTATTTTTCAATGTCAAGATCATAATTAAATAGTGACATTATTCAAAACTTCGAAAAAATAGATACCAAATTGAAACTTTTAATATTTCAAAATCAAATAATAATGATGCAAACCTAAGCAATGAGGTAAAATATTTGGGTAAGAAAGAAAGTGGAATACAGTTAGAGGATGGAGGCAGCAGGCACTACTCTTAAACTTGCCGCCCAAGCTTCGTGCAACGCTCAAACCGCGTAAGCACCGCCACACCACAGCACTGCAATCCAATGTGGACTCAATGCTCAATGGTGGGCCCCAATATATTGCACAGTCAACATGACGTGTCACCACTCCCCCACTCGCTCTCTCTTCTACGCTCTCTCACTCGCTGCTTTAACCTAAAATTTTCAACCTTTTTCTTTATTCCACAATAACTTTACTTTATTAATTAACACAAAAATCCAAATATCATATCCAGTTTATTGCTCTCTCAATCCTATCATATCATTCCAATTAAGTGATAGCTTCATAATCGACATTAATCGAAAGAAATAATTGCGCTCACAAAGAGTCGTTAAAATTAAACTCTTGAAACTTTAAGATTATCGAATTATTACAATTAAATACAACTACCAACGTACGTTGTTGTGTTTAATTATTATTTCATTTTTAGTTTCTTTGTTAGATGTTATACTTATAAACCTACTTTTACATTTGTGTATATTTATTTAGAGATAATTATAACCGTTTAAAAAATAAATAAAAAAATCAAAATTAACTCTTACAGTATTATAAACAAAAACAAGCATACTCATTTTATTTACTGTCTGTCAGTATTCACTAGAGTAGATATTTAGATAATAAATTAAACTATAATAGAAAAAGTAAAGTTGGAAAAGAAGTAGGTGTGTTAATTTTCAAAAAGCATGCGACTTTTGCATCAAATATAATGATGGTAGATTAGAATCTAACTTGGTCCCTCCACCACAACCTTATAAATCAAAAATATCAAAACTTTATATTTCAGATTAAAATTTCAACCAGCACCAGCAGCACCACGTGGCGCGGAGCGTGAAATATGGCGCGCGTGTCATGCGACTGCGTGACACATTAATTAGAAGGAAAAATCAAACTTGTGATGTTGACCTCTTCCACTGAACCAAAATCGGCCCCTTTATAAAAACCCCATCACCAAACCAAACTCCTCGTTCCGAATTAAAGCTCTCCAAATTCTCCAATGGCGAAGCCGTCCCACGTGACACAAATCTTCCTCGTCTTTGCCCTCCTTCTCTCCCTCTCTGGCTCGTCCTCGTCGGCCAGATTGCTCCCGGAGCCGGAGTTGAATCTGGCTCTTCCGGCGGATCCGGCGGCGGCGCTGTCCCGGAAGTATGGGCCTCTGCTTCTGGGTTTTCTGCCCAAGGGGGCGATTCCGTCGTCGGGGCCGAGCAAAGGAACCAACGACTTCAACACCTAGAATTTCTGTTCAATTTTTTTCTTTTTAATCTCTGTATTTGGGGTTCTGTAATACTAATTATTTGTTCTGTGTAAAGTGTAAATGCTCATTCAAAGGTGACGTAGAGGGGGGGGGGGTCTGATTATATTTGATTCATTGTTTCATTATTATGCAATTATTTATACTATTAATATTGATCTACTGATGAACACGGCAATCATTCTTTTAATTATTACAATTTTTAGTTTCTGTATTCTGTTCTGAACATCGCTGAAGTTTTGTTTTGAAACTCCGGTCTCTTTTTCTTCAAATGAGGAGGGAAATTAAAAAGAATATATGCGTATAAATATATATATTATGATGTAGGGGTAGTTTTAAATTTTATTGTTAAGTACTAAGATAATAACAATCCTTCGGTCGATAAAGCTGGAACTTTTCCACTAAAAGATTGTTTTCGTTATGCGTGATAACATAATTTTGGAAAATTTACGAGTAATTTGATGTTTTTTTAGTGCGAGAAATCTGGTCGATATATGTTTTTAACTAGCTAAGGTAAGTTTAGATTCATGAGTATTTTAACGTTTAATTATCTAAAATAGTAAATGGTATGAAATTTTAGTTACTGGTAAATTTGAACGTCCCCTCTCAATTAGATTTCAAAAAGATATTTAGTTATGTAGTTGTACTTTTTTTTTAATTTAAAATATTAAAACTGTAATTTGCAAATAAGTATTAATTTGATAAACTGATAATAGTAGTAGCATTTTTTCAGGCAGAGTAATTGACCAAGATTAATTAAATATTAATTTGTATACCATCCGTTTATTTTTATTTTTCTGATAATTTTGTATACTATCTTTCAAGTTTCAATCAGGGCGTGAAGATAATATGTTAGCGCTCGCTCAACAAAGAGTAGAGAGATATTTTTAAAGTTCAAGAAGGAGACTTTCAAATACTACCTTTGATCTTTCAAAATTGTTTCAAAAGTACCCTTTTGATTAATTTGGATCCGAAGTTGACATGGCAAAATCTAAAATGTGACAATTAACATGGGAACTAAAAAAAAAAAAAAAGACTAGAAGCACTTATTTGACTGAATTGCTCAAATTCAGTTATCTCACTCCCTAGATCTAGACTAGACTAGACTGAGTAAGAAAAGCAAAACCATTGTTCATAATGATTGATCAAAAGTTCCTGCAACTTGTCCATTATGTCCATTGTAAGATTTATATCCGTGAAGACTTGGTTCTCCTCCACGTTAATTGCAACATCGTCTTAACTTCTTTCCTGTCAACTTTTCATTCAAATGTTTGCTCAGAGTATTTTTGAAATATTTATGAGAGTGAAGAGTAGTTTTTAGTGGTATCTTTAAACAAATAACCAAGTTCAAGAGTAATTTTTATAATTTAGCAAAAAAATAATAGCGATTAAACCATAACAATATGGGTTTGGTTAAACTGTTAACTGGTGATTTGGAGAGGTCAATCCAAGTGGGTTCAAAGAGAAATGGTTTGGTTAAACTGTTAACTTGTGATTTGGAGAGGTCAATCGAAGTGGGTTCAAAGAGAAATGGTGAGTTAATACTTGCACTCGCTAAAGTCAATATGGGAGCAGAAGGAGAAAAGGGAGGAGACATTATTTAGATGTGACCACAAGGAGGTGCAGTCATGAGAAAAGGTCGCTGTGGAGACCAAATGCGACTTTCACAATTCACACTTCTGGTCTCTAATTTCTTCTTAGCAAGAGTAAAATTCCTACCAATCACGTTTTAGCTCTCTAAACAATCTCGTGTGTAATCACAAAAATGCTTAAACAAATTGTTACTTCAAATAAATATTAGCAACAACTTAATGTGAACCCAAATAATCGAACTACATTAAATAATATTTAAGAGAACTAAAAAAACTTTTACTAGTTGTGTGATATTATTAATTGGCGGAGGGTCATCTAATAAACATTTAAATTGCCTCTGAGATCACCTTGTCTGATGCGTTCCTTTTTAACCCCAAAAATTTACCGATTCAGGGAAAAAAAACGTATTAACTTCATCATGATCATGTAATAATAGATCCATTCGACATGTTAGATCATAGCTAACAACAAAATGTTAAAGATGAACATGTCAACCAAAAATTAATCAGATTTCAAAAGTAGCTGCAGCATACAATTCTTGAAACAAAACCTTGATATATCAAAAATCCTAAATAAAATTCAAATCCACGATGATTGAGAAACCATAAGAAAATTTAAAAGCATATAAAAAGTTTCTTCAAGTACGGGGTGCAGTTCCAGCTCCAACACGAGGGGCCTGTCCTGGCTGCCCAGGCTTTGGTGCGTCATCCTGAGAAAACATGGACAAATTTCAATTAAATAAACAAGCAGCTTCACACAACCACAATCAATAAACAAATCAGCCAAATAGCAACTTCATCTTCTGAAGTTTAATCAAAATACCAACCAAACAAAACAACCACCTTAAGTTTCAAGAATCGTGAGACTTGTGAAATAAAAAATAAAAAATAAAAAGGGTCATAACTCGGCACTAAGCAAGTATCAGAGATTCAGAAGGCAGTCATAAAATGCATACTAGGTAACAACAGTCATTACCACATACAAGAGGACATCATTAATGTTATACTAACATTATGCGTCACAACAACCACAACAATACAGTTGCAAATTGTAAGACTTGTGTTACAATAAAGCAGGACAGCAGTAAGCATGTATCAAGAGGGTTCATGACCAAGCCCTTGTTAACACTAACCTAAGTTACAACATTCATCATTAGACATGAAGGATATCTTCATTGTTGCATCACCATTATGACTTGCAAATGACAACGGATTCAGTTGAAAATGTGGCATTAGAAAGCTTAAAACAAAAATATTATTCTGATACAATGTTATATGATAAAAGCTTAAAAGAAAAGAGAGACAAGATGCAAACCAAACGAACACGAACCCAATTTACAATATTCAAGTAAACCATTACAACTCGGAGTCAATGAGAAGTTCATGTAAAGCAGTGAAGGCTGGGAAAGGAAAAAATATTGAGTAACTAAAAACAATATATTATACACAGGTTTATATAATCTGCCATCGCAACCCTAGAAAGTGAATCAATTAAACAAACAAAAAAAATTAAAAAACAAGTAAGCTGAATCAAGATATATACCCTGCGTCTAATGAAGCGCTGTGGAGGATCACGCTTCCTCCTGTCAGTGCGTGATCGAACCCTCACAACGTGAGAGTGAATGGCACAGGAAACGCAGTACTGCATCTTAGCATACAGCTTAGGAAGAGTGTACTCTGTACCAAAAACAATCATTGAAATTATCACTGAAGTTGCAATAGTGGAAGACAAAGAAAGAAAGCGTTCAAGAAAGGGATCCTACGATCATAGACACAGGCTTCCTGAACATCCCTAACAGCTGCCTGCTCCACGATGTTCCTGACAAGGAACCTCTTGATGGCCTTGTCCTAATCGCGCATATAAGAAACCTCAACATTAGATATTATATTTCAAACACTGAACCAAATCACTCAGATAATAGGAAAAAACACATCGATTTCAAATTAGCCGAATCTTTAGTTCTACGATAAAACGAAATCAATCGCTATTATTATGAACAAGCGTCGCGCAAAAATTAAAAGATGATTATACACTGTTTAGCTGCTACAGATCAGAAAGGGCACTACAAAGATAAACCTACAAACCCTAATTATCAACAACGACAGAAAGATATATCCAATTTTGGCATATGATAAGCATAGATGAAACGGCGAGAGATGACAAAAGAACCCTAGGTACCTTGGGGCAGCATTTGCCGCAGTTGGAGCAGCGGATAAATTTCACGTGTCCGCGTCCATGCTTGTTGCGTCCACCATTCCTGCGCTTGAAAGTCTGAACCAAAAGATAGATTGTCAAGTAAAATATTAAACGAAAACAAAGAATCGCTGAGAAATTAGGTTACCATGACTCTAGTCTTTCAGAACAACGAGCAAACCAGGAGAAGCAGAGAGCTCGTCGGCTGAATTAGGGTTCACGAATGAGCGGTAGTGATCCTTTTATATGGAGAGGAAGCAGATGGGTGACCTAGCAAATTAAACTCCTCATTTTGGTATATTTACAAATAACCCCCTCTTTTCTCCGGTTTTCCTATTTGTGCCCATAAAAACATGGATTTACAATTATCGCTCCCCGCTGGCCATAATTGCTCAACATATGAAATTATATATATTACATTTCAAATGTATTATAAAATTATTAACTATGTTTTTAAATTATAAGACTTGATTTGATAATGGTTTAATATACATATATATTCATATCTGTGAATGTCCGGACCAGTTTACGAGCTACAATATTTGATGTCAAGAAACATATAAAAATTATTTTGATAATCATTTTATATTTCATTTTAAAATTATTTTGAAGGAGCCAGACATATGATTTTTAAATTTTAAATTTTGATTACGAACCATTTTAATTTGGAGCATTTTAACTCTTTTGAATAAATTTACTAGAAAAATGCAGAATTGTGCTCGTGAGGCAAGGGCTGAAACAATTATGGCCCATGTATTTGCAAAATTCAAGCCCATTTTCTTTTAGATATTATAGCCCATGCAGGTAGTAAATAATAAATTTGTTGACATTCTATTGAAATTTTAGATATTTAGATGCAGGAAAATACCCCTATAATCCTTTCAAGAATTTTCTAAATAAATTCCTTTAAGAAAATAGATAGTTTGTAAAGCCCAAACACACCGAGGCTATTTGCCATATTGACCTTTAGAACTGATGTTGAGTACCCAAAACATCCGATAATAAACACTACATTTGTCCATTTTGTTTGTTATATGTACTTGAAAGAAGATATGATACATTCCAAATTCAAGAAGATATGATACATTCCAAATTAGTTTTTCCTCGAGTGTCCAGACCAATTTGCATGCATTTCAATTATTTTTCAACAACTATGCACAACTAGACTAGATATTGTCACACCTAAGATCACAAACCACCTCCTAACTAATTTTTTCTTTTGGTTCTGTTAGCATTTTGATACATATCAGGGCTTAAATTTGCATCCGTAATGAGAAAAGATACATCATCTTCCTCACTGGAGATGTAAGACAAAATTTCATGCCATTATATAATTTTAGCTTCGGATTCTCGATCGCACTCTCGAGTGAGTCGAGAGTAGAGATAGATATTGAATTCAAGCAGCTTCCAAAGACTTTGTTCTATTTCCACACAGGAGGGCTTGGAGAAAACTTCAGCTGCATTATCCATGGCAAATAGAGGATTTAACCCATCTTCCTTTTTCACTTGGAATGGAAGGTGTGTTTTCATATCATGACAATGAGAGAGGCAAATGTGCAAAAACGGGTCTCCAATAGAAATGAAATAAGCTAGACAATAAATAAAATAGTGGAAACACAAAAGGGGAATTTATAGTCTTTCTTTGACAAACTAGCTACTTGTCTCAGGAAAAAACCTTAAAGCTTCTAAAGAGAGCAACCTTTGACATAGGGACTCTCCATTAGGGTCTTTGGCTGTACCCATTTACGGCTTGCTTGGCCCAGCTTCTCTCAATTCGACACGATTCGACCTGGTCTCGTGAGTAGGACTCCATAACATAATCGGTTGCCCTTCTAGGCTAGGGGCACTTAGCAACTCACTTGTGGGGCATGATACCCAAAAATGGAGTTGGGAGGCCCAAAATCTAGCACTGGTAGCAGGCTAACGACATCGGCATAGGTTGCTTCAGCTCATCACAATCTTGCTCTGTAACTCCTAGGTGGAAATTTCCCAAAGAGTTGCAAATTTCCCAAAAAAATCAATGGGCTGAGTTGCAACAACTTCTGCAAGTAAGGAGTTGGGGGTAAATCAAAGTATCTTGAACCTCGGATGTTTCATATGGTGATTCTGTAGCTGTTTGCAGACTGTAGCGAGTGCATGAATAAGAATATAGGATCATCCCCACCAGAGATAACTTGGAGCCGTACATAACCAAATGGCAGATGCAATCATGTCTCTAGATGCCCAAGAACCCGAAATGTAACTGGGGAGTTTTCCAATCACATAAAATGTACTAAAATTAACTGGAAATGCGGCATGATTGAACCACAAAGACCTGCACGCCCGTCGCCCAAAAACAAAGCTTTAGAATGCATTACGTTATAAGCAAACCGGTTTTGATTGGTTTATAAAGAATTTGGGTTGAACAAACCTTAGAACCTTTTCTTGTCGTATGAAAAAGATGGTTTAAGATTTTTCTCCTTATAAGAAGTTACTAACATCTTGTAATCTAGTTTAGTCAATTAAAGCAGGTAACTAGAACTACTACCCTATCATGTAACGATCGTCGATGCTAGCTTATCAGAAAATTCTATAAATCATAGTGCTACCATATCATAGAATCCATTTCGTATTAGACCTAAAATTGTAGTCATCAATTAAAGGAAAATATATGCTATAGTTTCATTTTGTCGTAGCATCATTGAATTTAATCTGCACAGACACTGTTATTCAAGGTCGAAATGTTCATATCGAAGAAAAGTACTTCAACAGTTAATCAAGCATAACCTCATTCAAGATACAATTTGAGCAACACGTCTCGTTACTATGGCCTAGAGAGACAACATTTAACACAAAGCATTGAGTTGTAGATCAGTGATATTCAAGAAGTACATATCAAGTTCAACCCCTTTCAAGTAATTGAAGCTTTAAAAAGGTTCTAGAGTAATTTATAAACTTGCAACTAAATGATTCAACTAAAACCACCAGGAGTTTGATCGACATACAAATTCCAAATTGATGATAGCGTTATGGAAGTTCAAAATTTAGTCCAATTTTAAGATGTGAAAAACAATATTATCATGGTCTTCTCTAGACAACTAAACTGACAAGCATTTTTCTAAAAGAGAAAAGGGAGGGAACAAAATATAACGAAAGACTGGCCTGAATATATTTCCACGAAAAAAGTTTCCAAAAGCTCACATGGGATGATCGCCAGCTTTGTCATCTGGAAGACAAAGGCCGGAAGTTAAGCTTCCTGACAATGGCTTATACAACAAAACCTGTAATTGAATTAGTCAATGAAACTCGTCAAGGAGAGAATACTTGATAGAATCCATCAAAGTCAACCCTGAAACTTAGACATAAAAGTCACCCCAAAACCCTTGGAAGCTTTCTGTTTCAGAGGCTTATGCTCCAAAAGTTTCATACTCAAATCTACAGGAAGAGAACACACGAAACAGACCAAGATGTTACCACATTCCAAAAAGGGCTAAGTTCAATATGGTTTGACACTAAAATTTCAGCTAGATACAGACATCACAGTATTAGCAGTCAGCCACAGATGAAGAGCACTGCTAGGCCCAAAATCTAAAACAACATTCAATCGATTGGAACATGAACACCAATATATATTTGCAGTCATATGAATCAGTTTTATCTTTGCAGATGAATCTTCAAATTAAGAAACCTACGCAAAAGTTCCATTACGAAATTAACAGGGTACAGAAATTTCTCTCGTTGTCTAGAATAAAACTTTATTTTCTTTAGATGCAGATGAAATCATGACTCGCATTGAAGGGGGGGAGATCAGAAAAGAAAATACCCAGAAAGGCAAAGCAGCTGAAATCGGCCTTCTTGTGGCATCTCTCCGATTCGGTGAGTTCAAAACATTTCAAACCAAAATCAAGCGATCAAAGAGCTAACAGAGCCAGAACCTGACAAACTCTTAAAACGACGTCGGTTTGTTGTTTCTCTGAACGTGAAGATTTTAATAACTTTTTCGGTGGAACATAGGTCACTAGTTGAGTTAGATGGACATTTTTAATAGTCCAGACCATCGTTTGGAATCAATAAGTAATTTTAAATATTTTATCTTATTTAAGATGACAAAGATTTAATTAAAAATTATTTATTTAAATCTTTGTTGAAAGTAAATAAAATAAGAAGTTCATAATATATATTTTAACATTAATTTATTAATATAATTTAAATATGACAAAATTAAATAAATAATTACCTCTAAATAGAGTTTATGTGAAATATGTACTCAAAATTCTATAAACAACAAATAATTTGTTTCTTATTCTTCAAATAATAATTTGAATATTTCAACACTTTCGTTCCATTATTTTGAAATAAAAATTAAATTCTAAGCAAATTTTTTGCAGACACCTTATCTTTACAAGTCATTTACAAATTAAACAAACAAAAAATAGAAATAAATAGGTGAAAACTTCGAAATAAGAATTTTTGCTTTTAATATTCTTGGAAAGTTGAAAAATAAAAAAGAGAATAATTTACCAACTAAATTTAAAATAATAATACCGATAACATAACAATAAGCTTTCCCTTAAAAAAAATTAAATTAAATAATAGTAGTTAGTTCCAAACAAAAAAAGTAGTTATATTAAAAGAAAAAAAACGAAGCGACTTTTTGATTTCCAGGGCGTGAAGGAAGGAAAGAGGGAAGGCTTTGAACTTGGAATTAAAAAATTCTTCAATCGCGTGGAACCTATTTCGATATTCGCTAGGGAATTCTCGATCACATTGAAATCGGAACAACTTCTTGAGCTTCAATTTTGACCTAAGGGATTCTTCTCCAGAATTCAGTCTCACCGGAACAATTCGGAACTGCAATGGTGGATAATTACGACAGCGCCGGCAACGTAGAAGGCGACGGAAAAGAAATAGCTAGCACTTCATGTAGCCGGCAAGTTTCACTCCACCAGTCTATTGGTGGAGGTAAAGGTATTCTATTCTCCGTCAAACTAAATTTATTAGTCTATTGACCAATTTCGCGTTTCTGAATTGGGGTTCCTTCGTTTCCCTTTTGAGAATTGATTTTGAATCTGGTGGCTGCAATTGGTGATACTTCTGGGCTTTGATTGTTATTGAAACATAGGATATTATTGAACTAAAATTCAAGTATGTTATGAAATGGTTTGCCAGATTTGTGGATATTCTGTTCGTTTATCTGTTTCCCTGTGGAATTTGAATTGAGACTTTGACCGGTTGAAACTTGAAGTGTTTGGTTGCTTTGGGAAATGGATTCTATGTTAGCTATTATCCGGCTTACTACAAACTGCAAGAATGGTTTTCATGGTTCCTTCATTGTGTCTTAGAAGGAATAAAATGGTATTCCTTTTTGTTTCGTCGAGAATTTTGACTCTTTTTTTTGTTTGCATAGTGGCTGAAATTATACTATGGAAGCAGTGGCATGTTTCTTTTGGCGTCCTCGTTGTTGCTACAGTAGCTTGGCTCCTAATTGAGCACTCTGGGTTGCCATTATTGACAGCATGTTCGGATGTTTTGCTGATCTTGGTCGTCCTATTGTTTCTTCGTGCCAACTTTGCTGCGTTTCAGAACAAGTATGGCTATGGTTGACTTATATTTTGAATCACAGTGAAGTTATTTCATATCTTTTACTGAATACCTTCTGCTTACATTATCTTCCTTTTTTCAGCAGATAATATGTTTTTTCTGTTAGCGCTTCAATTTTCCTCTATATGCAGGCAACTTCAAATGTTACCACAGTTAGCATTGTCGGAGGAATTTGTCAATGACGCTGCAGCATCAATTCGGGCCAAGATAAATAATGCACTACTTATGGCTCATGACATCACACTTGGCAATGATTTTAGACTCTTTTTCAGGGTTAGTGTTTGAGATACCATTGAAGGCTTGAATTCATTTGCACTTTATGCAGATTATTTATACTCCTAATACTTTATACTTGAATTAAATGGGTGAAAACCAGGAGAATATTTATTGGCTAATATGTACTTTTCCTTTGATGATATACCTAATGTGCACGATGAGTGATGGCATTTGGATGTGTCAACCATGAGAATCTCAAACCCTAAGGCAATGAAAGCTATCTCGAGACAGTTTAATGAATACATACACCGAGTGATATTCACTTGAAGAGCATAATATTGCCTTCTGGCTTCCTTGTATCTTGATGCAATAGTTAACAGTGTGACTAATCTTGCAAAGCTTTGCAGGTGGTGATCTGTTTGTGGCTCTTATCTGTCATTGGTAGCTACCTTTCTTTCTTCACATTTGCATATATCGGTATGTACAAACATCCTAAAACACTTCTCTGACATTCCTTTACTTTGAATACTTTTCATCGCGTGCAATTACATTTCGATCTAACTTTGTTAGATTGGTCCATTCATCTTTTTCTTTCGTGGCTTTTCCACATAAGAAATGAGTACTGTCTAAAGCTCCCCCTTGCCGAGTGTCCTTTCTCATTATCCTTACCTTTATGGTTTACTGATCTAGCAAATGTAATTTCCTTCCTTTCTAATTGAATCTTCTTGACTTGTGATGTTGCATTTAACTTGGTGACAGGAATTATCATCTCGATAACCATCCCCGCCTTGTACAACAAATACGATAAACATGTTGACAGATACTGCGGAATGATCAGCCAGAAATTTAGAAAGCATTATAGAGTAATGGATGAGAGTGTTCTCAGCAAACTCCCTGGTGAGTTATCCAAGGAAAAAGATCAATGAAAAGGAAAATGCTGGGTGTAATTTTCTGCAGTTGTACTGAACAGAACCACAGGAAAATTGTAATTCTGTTTCACCACAAATGGATGTCTGGATACTTGAAGGTCATTACTTAGCCTTAGCCATGCATGTCTTTACTATGGGTTTGTATCTTGTCATTGGGTTTAATTATCTAAACCATCTAGATGTCACAGATTTTTTTTAAACTGCCAACAGAAATGATTGGAAAAGATGAGGGGATTTTATTTTTAACTTTTGTATTGTAGGGGAGGAGGAAATTCAGTGTTTCTCTGTAATTATGGAGGAAAAGATTGCTATATATATGTAAATTTTTTGTCTGAAATTTGCAAGGGAAGCCAGGTTCTGAATCTGGTTTGGTCAAGGTCTAATCCTGAGACTGAATTGTTTTTGTTAAACATGGATCAGCCCATAAAAAGGCCCATTATTGAATGCCAAAGTTAGTTTAGCAAACATATTTGAAGCAACTAATTCTTAAGATACCCAAAGTGTTATATTTTATTATTTTAATTAACCAAAATCAAAATCAATTGAGTTATATTCATGTTAGCAATGAGACGTGATATCAAATATAATTTACAATGGAAGACAAAAATATACATATTTGGTATATTTGGTACATCGTTGACATTTATATTTGGAGAATAAGATGAGAAGAGCTATAAATGTGGAAAAAGTGGAAGTGATGTTCCATACTTTGATGGTCATATGATATGAATTGTCTTGTCCAGGCAAAATATGATTTTATGGAATCATTGTATTGTACTCTTCCATATCATAATATCATAATTTCCTTTCCCACTCCTCACTTCCCTTTTTCCCTTTTTCCCTTTTCTTTCCTCTTTTTTCCTTCTATTCTCTGCGTCACAACTTCTATCCTTGTTTTTTCTTTTTCTTTTTCTTTTTTCTCAAATTACATACCCCGTATTGGGGTATGGAAATTTGAACTTCCGATCTCAATTACCCACAACTTAAATTACAGTTTTGTCCATAGATTGAAATGCTTTTATGGGAATTATATACATAAGAGTCAATGAGGACTAATCTTGAAGTTCAATCAATAATGTCCATTACACTTATGCGACTACCTCTGAAAGAAGATGGAGCTACATAAATAAATTGGTGCATTGAATTTCAAGTATAATGAAAAGATTAAAAGAAAATACTAAAGGAATGAGCATAAATGACCAAATGAGACGTGTAATTTGAGAAAATAAAAATTTCAACTAAACATAATTTGAAGAAAATCACTGATACATGGCCCTCGGATTAATTAAATGAGGACTAAGTCAACAATTTTGTTTCTAAGATAGCCAATGGGGTGGGATATTTCCTCTTTCCCTAAACCCAAACTAAACCATACACTTAAAATTCTTCTACACACAGTAACAGTATTCTCCTATAATTTATATATATATATAAAATTCAAATATATAATTTCATATATATATATATTGTGTTTTTGAACTCCAAAGACCTAGCGGGTGCGATTCAACCACCACTGCAATTAGCCGGCAGGCGAGGGCGAGGGCGACGGCGGCCGGCCGGAGATTTTCCATCCTACTCTGTCTCTACCCGTGTCAGAACAGAATCTCCGTTTTTTCTTCAGAACTGTGATCCCTCAAAAGTCTGACCGAACTGCCAGTTGGCCGGAACGGCGTCGTAACTGGTGAGGGTGCGGCCATCGCTGGTGGTGACTTGGAAGGACAAGCTCTGTCCGTTCAAGTAGTTGTTGCTCTGCCAGTTCTGTCCCCAATTCCTCGACATCGCTTGCCACCCAGTTTTCGACCCCTTTATCGACACCGAGTGCACGTCGCCGGCGCCGCCCACGTTCGTTATCAGCACCAAGTTGAAGTACGAATGGCCGTTGATCGTGAACCTTATTCCCCCTTTCTTCACGCAGGGGACTCTGCAATTATAACCAAACAGGGGATCCACGTTAAAAAACCTTTATAACAGATCTAGACTACTCCTTGCCAATTAGTTTCGAGTACATGATTTATGATAGATAAAGACCACTCATCTCATTACGAATTCACGATTTCTCT